GTACACAAAATGACTTGTTCAATAACAAAGAACGAAACTGTGTAGTAGGCACATATATGTTCAAACGGTAGACATATCTATCATACGAATATCGTATTAAAGTACAAAATAATAATAAATTGCTGACGTCGGCAACAATGCATCGTATCATCATTGTGCACGATTTTTATTGAATCAGCTCAAAATATGCAATTGTGCAAATCGAAAGAGAAAAGCTACGTAGAACCAAAAAGTAACGCCAACCACGCGCGCATTCACCGTGCACGCGCTCTCTCTCTCTCTCTCTCTCTCTCTCATTCTCTATATTTAATGGAGCAAACACCGAGCGAAAAAAAAATGTGTGTTTTCGTGTACAACAGAATCATTTGCTCTACATCTATCGAAGACAAGCATTGTAATACGCGTGTTCACGCGGTTGAAATTTAGCGAATATCAATATCCATCGGGCACATCACAGTTTATTTATTTTTATCTCTTGTTTTTGTATCTCTCCCTTAATTTCCATTGGTCGCATTGAAAAAAACAAAATTCAACGAACAACGATATTCAATGTAATTGATGGGTTTCATCAACAAAACTTCAAATAAACACGTAGTTAAAGGTGCTTTGCTCTCTGTCGAAACGTTTCAAAAAAGAAAAATACGAAAATAGTTGTCTCATATTTCGATTGAGTCAAACATCACATATAGCGCAAATTGGCACAGGAGCCAATGAACTAAAATGTTTACGTAAAACGACGCTTTATGTCGACTGATTTACTTACCGTATTTAATTTGATGAATAGCGAATATTGCGCTATTTGATTTTAACTCTATCGACATCATCAAAACTATTACCAGCATCGAATAGTATATGGTATATTTTCATTAAATTCGTTGGAATGTTTCCATGGGTTTGAATTCGGATTCGGATTTGTTATTATAAATTTCATTACTCTTGCAAATTTATAAAATGAAATTGACCAATCATTTTTACCTTCCGGCAGAGCAATTATGCGTATGTCAAAATTTGGATGGCGAACACACACACACACACACACAAGCGCATGCAAAAAAAGCATCTCTATCTTCATGCCGTTCTATTGACCGTTTTCAAAAAGTCGAAAAAAAATATATATTTTGCGATAAATTATATATTTAAACATAGAAAAGATGCATCATCAATGCAAATGACAGCGTTCCAATATCGAATATAAAACATATATGAACATATGAAAACTGTACACAAACATATGCTCTTTCATGTCTCCGCATTAAAATGAAGCGCTCTTTTTTTGCAACACAAAGCAATGAGAATATTCAAAATTATTTCATACCAAAAACTCAATAATACATGAAATATGTATATCGATCATGTACAAACTGGAAAGCAAACGTAATTCCATTTTATATTAAATCAATCTGGCTAAATTGAACACGCCAAATGAAATTGTTTGCGTTTTTTTTCGAATAAATTTGATACCGGTTCGAGAAACCGGTGGACAGAGAATCGGTTTCGATAAATATGCGCCGGTACAAATACAAATTATAATCGTATATTTTCAATAGTGATGCTATTTTTTTGTTGTTACCGCCGCACATGGATGGGGTAGATACGAGTAGTTTACAAATTGCAGTCTAAATGGGATTATGGTTTGAATGAAACATGGATTTTATCGCTTTTTGGCAAGCATTTATTAAACCAATTCAATCACAATCCATTAGCCTAAAACATTCAGTGGCACGAAAATTGAACTCAAACTCGAGCATACACACAAATATATATCCAAATGAAAAAAAAACAAATTCATTAATAAAATATTTAAGCGAAAAATGCATCAAATGAAAATCGCTTTATTTTATAAATTATTGAAAAAGTCTACCTAACGATCAAAAATCATGCGTAGATTGTACTCAATAAAAAAATATGCATACTATACGAATGTCTGAAAGTGTATCGACTACTGAATCCGTGTTATCATTCCCATCGAACTAACAACTCTAACTTCGTTCACACATAATCGAACAAAAAGAAAATACTTCCGAATGTCGGTGTGAAGGAAAGCAACAGTTAATGGCACATATTGTCGTCAAATCAAATTCACTACAATGTCGATTGATTGAACGAGAGAGAGAGAGAGCGGAAGAAAATAACTCGTTGTCAATGTCGTGTTTTATGATTGAAACGTATGAATTTGATTGCAATCAATGCATATTTTCATCTCATCAAATCTATTTACATAGAAAGCGTTGCATACCATCGTGTCTCATACACAATAATCAAAAGACATAAACCCATTTAAGTGTTTTATTCGTATGTGTGCACGCGTTCGCAAGCGCTCTTCAATTGTAAATATTTATTCAAATGTTCAAAAGCATATTGTGACGACTAAACAAAGCTTACGTCACATAATTGCCGATAATGAAAATGGTTTAAACTTGAGTTCAATTGCATTCAATACCTTGAGACGTTTTCGCGTATGATTTATATCGTATCGTAATGACTAAACCGGCGAATGTGGTTAAAATCAAGCGTTCAACGTAGTACACACAGTATACACACAGTGTGCATATATCGCATCAATTCATGAATATTTCCGCCATGCTAGATTGTTCTCTTGAATTGTGTGTGCTTGTGCTTTTAAAAAAATGCTTGGTGGGTGCTAAAAACAGACACGATCTTTCACGTGAAAAGATAAGTAATGGTTGTGCTGTCATTTTACGATAAATTGTCCCATATATACATTGCATTGAATTACTTTTATCTTGCATCACAAAATTAGAAGACAACGACAATAAAAATTGTTAGTTTGATGCCACATATATTGGCATTACCGTGAATTGTATTACCTTGCCAATTGTACATAATAAGGAACATGCATTCGATTCAAAATTCAATATTTAATTGGCTACTATTCTTAGCGTATATATGTGAAATGTGCTGTGCACAGTCCAAATTTATTTATGGAAATGAACGTTATAGAAATTGGCCCCTATTGGATATTCGCTATTTTATTTACCATCAATTGTCCGTGCAAATCGAGTGTGTAATCTATAAATATATAGATATAGATATATATATAAATGCCACCATTCAATAAAATCATAAATGTGCAATCAAATGAACACATTTCATATCGCAATTATAAAAATATTATTGATAGTAATAATTAGCATTCACATTATTAATTTGTATTTTAATCTTTTCGATCCTTTCATTGTAGTCTCTGTTTGATGTTTGTTTGTGTGTTTTTTTTTTGTTGTGTTTCATGTTTTGTTTAAATGTCATTTGCGCCATTCATTGTTGTCACAAATGTAACTTTATTGCCATTTTGCATTTGAAATCCTGTGATTTCATTTATATACAGCCCGTATTCATGCGACCGTAATAAGACATAAAATTCTATAATAATGATATTTGTTAACAACAACAACACGAAATCCCAATAAAAATATAAAAATCAAGTGACTTGAGTGGAAAGGGTATCATTGATTCAAAATGCATGAGTCAGTTTAAATGAGAATGTGGAACTTTTCATGTTGCGAAATTGAATCGCTTAGAAAATTGTTGAGATTACTTTACATGTATTTTATTGTTGCGCATTATCACATCTGTTTGATTGGAGCTCAACATTTGTGTGTTTGTGTATGCTTTTGTTGTTGTTGTTGTTGTTGTTGTGCATAGTTTCCGATTCAATAACGAACGGTGTTCGTTTGCTAGTCGTATGTTGTGTGGCGATGTGAACGAATGAACATTGCGCTACAAACACAGATATCGGCACCTCGGGAGTACAGAGTCCGTTTGCTGACAAATCTCATAAAATTCCAAAACTCGTACGATTCCAAAAAAAAAAACGATTTTATGTTGTGCACGGCTTTGTTGTCATTTCATTCTTCCTCTACACCATCCGACCATCCCTCAAGCGTGTCTCGTTCACTTTCTGTTTGTCGCATCTTAATTATTAAACATGGATATTGATAATTTTGGAATAGTTTATGTTGCGGAAATACAATAAATGTGTGGATAACTAATAACGTACACTAGCCGATGAATGGTGTATATATTTTGAGTTGTGCTGCGTACAAAGAGTTATCATTACATTTTGTCGTATCGAAAACAAATCGAAAATAAAAATGCGACCAACATAATCGGGGGGAAAACAGAGATGTATTCGCACCGCATTCAATGTTGTCGTCTCATTATTTCATTTAATTCGCCACATGAAAGAGACGCCAAATTAAAATAAGAAACTCGAATGTAATTGAACAAAAGCAAAATTACCGCGTAATGTGAACGAGCTACAATGGCATGCTCAAGCTTTATAACTTTCACAACGTAAATCGACAAAACAAAACAAAATCATAATAATAATAATAGCAAAAACAGCAAATTATTGTATAAACTCATTTTGCGAATCAACTTCATAAAGAGAAACGTAATACACATTGTGTTTTTGTACAAGTGTAAAGCATCCAAAGAATGTGTAGACATGTGGCTTAAAGTAGAGCATACAATACGCGTGTGTATATTGTTTGGCGATTGTGTTTTTTTTTTCTTCATATTCGCAATTTTGCATTTATACCGTGTTGTCTGTGCAATCGTGTATATGGTGTGTGTGTCTGTATTGCGTGGCTGTGACGGTATGATTGGCGATGACGATAGTTGTGGTAGCGGCTCATTGCTTAATTTGATCTATAATGCAGTTCTCGGTGTCGAACATTAGAGCGCGCACGTGTGAGATGTTGAATAATGAATTTATATTGTCACCCCACCATACCCATTCAAATCGAATGGCCACAATATACAAAACCATTTTGCATGCACAAGCACCGCATAGAAAACAATATAGCTTAACTGTTTTGTTATATGTCATTGTCGAATGAATTCTAAATCATGACTTAATTAAATTGTACCATAATTTCAAAACATTCAATTTTGACTTAATTACTATTTGTATATTGGAATTATCTATTTATCTCACATATTAATAGCTATTTACCATTTATTTTCTCTCATTACAGATGATGATATGATTAAGAGATCGCTAAAGGTAAGCATGAAATTATAAACAAAAAAAAAAGTCATTGACATAGTCTATGAGGTCAGAGAGGATTGGATTTTTGTTTTGGAAATCACTCTATGACGTCGACCGAACCGAATTTGATTGAAAATTGCACAAAATTTCAATTCCACCAAGTTCCAAATGTCACTCGAGTGACAGCCAACCAAATAGAATAAAGTGCATGCTCATGCTGGCTTTATAACGTCTCACCATACATAGAGCGACAAAACATTACCTGTTTGGTTGTATACAGAGCCAACAATATGCATATTCGTTTAATGGGAATATATTTCAGTGGAAATTTCGATGGTTATCTCACAATAAATAAGCCAAGAATTAAAAGCGTACACATCATACATGGGCACGGTTCGAAAATTAGGGGGGGAGGGGACCCATCCCTCAATAACAAAACCCCAACAAATCGATAGAAATACTCAACTGTCGTCTAGGTAGGGGGTAGCTCGGACGATTTAAGGGAGATTATACAAGATTATACCTCCCCATCTGCTCATGTATGATACACATTTCCATGGACAATGCCACATCATTTATACATGTAGATGTTGTATTTGTGTGTGCGTAACCGATTTTCATATGTAAATATTTATCAGAATGTGTGAATGGCAACATCCATTATAACTGTTAGTGACAATTCGGGGAAATATACAACTCTCGGTTCTTCCCTCAAATGCAATACCACAAATTAAAGGAAAAGCGAAACATGTCTAACATCATTCAATGAAAATGGAAACTTAATCCGAACAATATACCCTGGCAACGATATGTGTTGCATGGTTTACATCGGCCTTCAAGCTATGTGTGTGTGCAATGCGGGAACGTTTTACATCAACGTAATAATCGAATATTAAATAGAAATATGTAAACACTCGCACGTCACAACGTTTTCAATGGACATTTATTCAAGTACATACATATTACTATTTGGCACCGTCATCGTCGTTGTGTTGTCGTCTGCAACCATTATTTTGCACTCGAACAATCTTACAACCTTCTAAAACCGACCATACGTTTTGTTCATTGATTTTCATCTCTTGAATTTAATTCCATTCTTTAGATATTCTGATGGTAGTCACGCACCGTGCACAACACATGCTCACTTCAATGCTATTTTCATTCACTATAAATGCAAATTTATTTTGTAGTACACATTGCATGTCGCCATGCAATACACGCATACACACACATAATCTCAAACTGAAAAATTTTGAAAAAAAAAACATTTGAAATTTAATTTTTTATATTTTTAATTCCAATTGAAATAAAACCACGATTCCATTCATTCTGGGATATGTCCATTTTTCTTTCGTTTTTCTTTTCGCTTTGTGCAATTTTTTATGTGCATTACTCAAATCGACAGTATGCATCCATTGTTGATTGAAGCAAAAGTTCGAGGCAAATGTGTCTGAAAGCCAAGTGCCCCAAAACTATTTGTTTTTTTTTTTTTATTTAAAACGTAAAATGTCAAAATGCCATATCGATTTTGGTCGATCATTTGATATTTGCAATGGTCAAGCTATTTCTACTATGGAAGAAGTATTCAAAATTCAACTTAAAACTATTTCACCCTACTTTTATATCAGTACCCATTGTTTTGTCGACTACACATAAATCTCGATTAGTGCATGCACTTAGAGAAAGAGGTATGCAAAATTACAAGTCAAAATTCATTGCAATCATATAAATTGTTTTTTTTAATTCATTTTCTCACACACATTATGTGAAAATTCCAAAATGTTTATTACCACACAATGACTGGGGTGGTAGGCCGATTTAAGTCAACATGTAAAAATTTCATTCACATTCGTAACAATGTAATTTATGAATTTTGTTCAGATGACAGTTCACATTGAATTGATACAAATATGAATCGATAATAATTGAAATTCATGGCACAATATATATTTTGTTGTGTGTGTACATGTGTGGATGAGAGAAAGCGACTTCTGTTGTTCATGCGTTGTTACCATTTCTATGTTGTTTTATATACATATTAAACATGATAGAGCTTTTGTTCGGCACACGATTGACATAAAGCATTTAACTACTGAGCTATGTTTAAATAAGCACAATGCAAATTTGCAGCATTTCAATTATTCGATAGAATCTGCCGTCTATGTGACTCCTTTGATAAATCACTATCTAACTGTATCGAATGCTCATACTTTTGATGGGTATATTCGTGTTTGTCTTTTCCCGTTTTGCTTCTTTCCATGCATCATCCACCTCACCATGCGCTCGTTCAACTCACATTGGTCCATGCCGATTCACAACAAATACATATTTTCGATCGATATGAACGACAACAAGTTTTGCAAACATTTATAATGTTTGTATCGCGAAGTGGCAACTTTATATCATGCTATTTAATGCGATTTTTCTATATTAAAAGTTTGCATTAAAATGTCCATGCGATTAAAATTTCGAAACATTGATCATAATTTATTTATATCTGTACTGAATCTGTAGACCAAAATGAAAGTGCCAATCCAATAGAAGGAAAAAGACGACGAAATTCATAGCAAAAAATACATGTTCGCTTTAAAAGAAAGGACATAAATAATTAATGGGCTTGAATAGCATGACTTAATGGAAATTTCAAAATCTATTTGTTCTTTTTGTATTTCAAGGTTTTTTATGACTTATTGCCCCTTTCTAACCAAATTATTCTATTTTTTATTATCATATCATGAAGACAAACGAACAATATGTATTGAGTAAAAAATAAACTTTTAAATGTCTATTAACTAATTAAATATGGATTGTGTTCCAGTTCTATGTGAATGACACATTACGACAAGGATGCATGTTGAATAAATTTCAAATTACATCGGTTTCATGTTCAAATAGTCGTTTAAAAAAATAAATAACTACCTTTCTCGATGGATTTAAGGCATTACAAACTTTGATTAAAGTAATGAAAGCTTACAATTTTTGTTTATTGTAGTCAAATGTTTTCAAAACTGGAAAAATGAAAAAAAAAAAAATCGGAAGTGATGGTGTTAGTCCCTTGCCTAATAATTATCTCGAAAATATTTCAATTAATATTTACTTCGTTGGCTTCCCACAAAATTTCCATTTAATTCCATATTAAATGGACAAACTGAGAAAAAGACACACACACACACACACACACACACACACACACACACACACACACA